ATATACTTATGATTCTGGTGATCTGGTTTGGTGGCTGGACAGCACCTTCTTCTGTGTTCCCAGGTCATGTTTTGTTTATTCCTCAACTCCTCAGCTGATCTTGTTTCTTCAGACTTCAAACTGTAGGGATCTGAATCCTCTCCCGGATGGATTTCAGCTGAGTGGGGTAGTCTCACCAACACCTCCAAGTTGTTGGGTTTTGCAGGATCAGCCACTGGGCCCTGGGTTGTCCTCAGATGGAGTGTTCTGATTCGCTCTGTTTCTGTTCAACAGACATAGCTTCTTCCCTGGGTGTTGGGGTTAGAGGCGTCTCTGCCTCTGCTTGTCGCTGCTGCCGGGCTCGTCTACCTCTGCAGGCTGCCGCTGGGCCTGTATGTCCCTGTTGGCTTCTGCTGCTGGACCCTTCTACCTATGTGGGGTGCTGCTGGGCCTGTATGTCTCTCCTGGCTGCCGCCGGGTTTGTATGACCCTGTCAGCTGCAGCTGCCAGGCCCAAAAATGAATTTTATATAATAAAATAAAATGTTTTGAGAGACTGAAAATCAAAGATGAAAACAAGACTAAGAAAGTCGTAAAACTATAGGCTAAGCTCAGAAGATCTGAGTGAGTTGTACAAGGTTTCTGGAAAATGACCTAAGGATGGTCTGTGTTTATGATAAAATTCCTAAGTTTATATTTGTCCACTTGTGGTAATATTGACAGAGTCTTTTGTTTTGTTTTGTTTTTGAGACAAGGTTTCTGTGTGTAACAGCTCTGGCTACGGTGGATCTCACTCTCTAGACCAGGCTGGCCTCAAACTCACAGAGATCTGCCTGCCTCTGTGAGTCTGGGATTAAAGGTTTGCACCACCACAGCCCAATGACAAAGAGTCTTAAAAGACATTAAGTCTAATGAATATAATATCTTGCATTTTGGTCAATCTTTCTTTTTGTTTTTTGAGACAACGTTACCCTACATAACCCTGGCTGTCTTAGAACTCACTATTTATACCAAGATGGCCTAAAAGTCAAAGAGATCCACCTGCCTCTGCTTCTTGAGTGCTGGAATTAATGTGTGTGCCACAACACCTGGCCATATTTTTTATTAACTAGATCAGACTTTAACCACTTGGGGAAATTGAGTCATAGCAAAATAAGAATGAGGTGGTTTGAATGAAAATGGCCCTCAAGGTGTGGCCTTGTTGGAGGAAGTAGGTCACTGTGGGTGGGCTTTGGAGTTTTAGAAGCTGAAGCCAGGCCCAGTGTCTCTCTTCCTGCTGTCTGCCCATCCAGATGTAGAACTCTAGGCTCCTTCCCTAGCACCGTTTCTGACTGATGTTGCCATGTTTCCTGCCATGATGATAATGGACTAAACCTCTGACTGTTAGACAGCCCCATGAAATGTTTTCCTTATAAGAGTTATTGTGGTCGTGATGTCTCTTCACAGCAATACAAACCTAAATTAAGACAAAGAGTTTCTTTAAATATTTTTAAAGTTTTTATTAATTTGTGTGAGTGGTTTGCTTGCCCATACATATGTGCACTCTATGTGTGCCTGGTGTCTCCAGAAGCCAGAAGAAGGTGTCAGAAGCCCCAGAACTGGAGTTACAAATGATTGTGAACCACTATGTTGGTGCTCGAAGCCAAACCAAGTCTCAACTTGTTTCTCCTTTGGGTTGAGTCTGGTGACCAGGACCTTTCAAGACTCAAGGTTTGTGTGTAGCTCCATCTTGAAGTATTTTTTGAGTTTCCAATACTTTTCCCAACCTACTCCTAGTCAAAGGACCCAGTATCCAGAAACCCAAAGATGCCTCCATCTTGCCTCTGGATTATTTCAGATGTTGGAAGATATTTGAAGATTTAATTTTTTTAACATTTCAATATGTGTAGGTGTGTGTCTGCATGTGGGTATGTGCACCCTGGAGCTGGAGTTACAGACAGTACTGAGCCATTGACCTGGGTGCTGGTAGCTTAACTTGGGTCTTCTAGAGGAAAAACTGTAAGTGCTCTGAACTACGTATCCATCTCTCTAGAACTTGGGAGGCAGAGCAGGTAGCTCTCTGTGACCTCATGGATGCTGGGGACCAAACCAGGTCCTCTGCTAGAGCAGCCACTGCTCTTATCCACTGAGCTAACACTTCAGTCCCTCTGTTTTCTCTCTCTCCTTCTCTCTCTCTCTCTCTCTCTCTCTCTCTCTCTCTCTCTCTCTCTCTCTTCCTCCCCTCTTTTCTTCCATCCTTTCTTTTTTCTTTCTTTAATTAAAAAAAAAAATTGAAGCTGGCAGACATATACCCAGGAAATACACACATTCATGTAAAAATTTAGTAAATATTTTTTATTTGCTAAACATAAACGTGTTTATAAATTTTTGGAGGCAAATTTCCTTAGCCAGGTTGTGAACTCTGATACCTACCTCAGTGTTCCAAGTAGTTTGGATTACAGGCCCGTCACACCTAGACCAGCTTATTTCATTTTAGATGCTGATCAAAGGTTCTAGTAGCCTGGATTGGTAGACAAAAGTCATGGAATACATTTAACTGAGATGGAAAAAAAATTCCTTTTACTTGGATCACCCCCTTCTGAAAACTTCCCTTGATATTAATGTCATATTACACACCTCGCAAAAACTGCCACATCTGTCACAGCTGCGTGGTCATCTTCAAATTTACACTCATTGACTTAAAATACATGATTCCCATTAACTTACCCTGGGAGGTATTATATCTAAATTGGGGTATCTAAGAGACTCATTTTTTTAAAATTCTGGGAAGTGTGTACCTGCCACTTTGCAGAGAGAGAGGAAGCCATACGATTTGGCTGGAGACCTTCCCTGATCATGGTAGTAGTCCACTTAGCTGCTGACTAGCTCTGGTGTTGGTGAATTCCTCAGCTTGGCTTTATAAAAGTTACTTTCTTTGCTAAGCAGGCTTACAATTCTTCCTTGTAGACCAACTAGGGCTATGTGAGACCCCGTCCCATTCATTCATTCATTCATTCATTCATTCATTCATTCATGCATTCATTCATTCATTCATGAATTCTAAAGAAGTAAATGCAAGCTGAGTATATGGCCGAGTGCTATAGTACTTGCCGAGCATTCATGAGGGCCTAGATTTAATCCCCAACTGCTTATGGGATGCATTTCAGGAAACCGGGCTTCGTGAGGGAGGATAGTGCCCAGGACAGGACAAGGGAAGGGAAGAGGTGGCTGGAGAGCGGGAGGTCTGGAGAGGAACAGGAGACAACGGCACCTGCTCAAATACAGTTACAGGGGACCACTGCAAATCCAGGCCCCACCAGCTTGGTCAACACACATTGAGCTCTTCCTGCAGGCCCCGAGGTGCTTTGAGACAGGCAGTGGCTGGATGCTGGCCTCATTCTGGGGCCCTCAGGCCTGCTGAGTTGACCTAGGGTCGTTCTGTGTGAACCCTGACTCATTGTAAGGGTGCAGGTCAAAAAGTGGGGAGGTACAGGAGGCTGAGGGGGACCTCAAACCCATCCCATTTGGTGACAAGGACCACTCAGGCTCATATGGATGCACGAAGTTTATTGGACACAGAGATACAGGGTCTTTGGGGCTTTGCCTCCTCCAACAGTCACCTAGTACACTGGTCCCTCCAGGTGGGTGAGCTTGGCTGAGAGGAGGTCATATGATGTGGGGATGCAGGACTGAGATCTGAGCTCACTACTACTCTTCCTTATCTTTCTTCTGCTCATCATGGTCATCATCTTCATTTTTTCTTTCTCTTTGTTTTTTCTTTGTGTTTATCTTTGTCTTTATCTTCATCTTTGTCTTTATCTTTGCTATCTTCCTTCTCTTTGTCAGTGTCAGGAATGGTCATTGGTTCTCTTGGAGGCTTCGCTGTGTGGTAGGTCCATTTGAAGCCTATCCCTTGGAGGCAGACAGGTGAGTACACACCATTGACAGTCTGTAGATGCTGGTCTGGACTTCCACTCTCTTCAAATGGACGTCCCTTATTTTTACCAAAGGAAACCTCAGTCCCCTTGTTGGTAATGAAGGTCAAGGAGTTCAGACAGTGTCCCACAGTGCCAAGAACCTTTACTACATGCTCACCATCATTCAGCAGAAACTCTCCATAATATTTTGAACGTAGTCCATGGACATCACTCCAGTGATTTTGAAACCGCAGCTGGATGCTGGAGACAAATCAAGTAAGTGCACCTTCAGCAATGCCTGTTCTTTCTTAAAACTGTGCCGTATCCTGGTTCCTGGTTTACAGTTCAGTCTCCAGAATTGCCCAGCTCTGATATGGCAGCCTGGTGTCCTTCCTCCTCTTCCTCTTCCAGACACATCCCTACTCACAGGTCCTCCTAGATTCTGGCTCAGGTCATGCATCTGTGCCTGAGTGGCTAGCTCTACCACTGCAGCTAATTCTGAACCTGAATCCTTTGCAGGGACTGCCTAACTCACATTTCCCATCTAGAGCCTCCTCCTCCTCTCTGGCCCAAAAGAGGCAGCAGCCACAATGAGACCCCTTTGCTCAGGTCAGCAGACCTTACAGGCAGAGACCAGGGAGACAGGGTCATGTCTCCTAGTGTTATCAGGAGGGAACAAGAGAGCCCTGGGAGATGTTCTACAGAGCAAAAATTCTTCTACACTATTGCTAATGCCAACTTCCTTCTCTTGTAAGAAGATGCATACCAAATCATACCACAGGTAAAACGCAGGAAGCATATCAGCTTTAACTAGAATTTTAGATAAACATGAGTAATTTCCAGTATAAGCCACTTTTGTGTTGAATGGTTGATTTGCTAATTTTTGACATTAATTTATTACTTACCGTGTGGGAGCCTGAATGTGTGTGTGTGTGTGTGTGTGTGTGTGTGTGTGTGTGTGTGTGTATCCATGCATCTCACATGTGCCAAGTTCGTTGGAGGTAAGAGGACAACCATTGGGATTTTGTTTTCTCCTTCTACTGTGTGGGTTGCAAGGGTCAACTCAGGTTAGGTTTGTCAACAAGAGACATCCTGCCAGTCTTTATTTCTTGTACATATTTTTGTTTTTTTGTTTTGTTTTCTTTTGTGTTTGTTGGTTTTTTTTTTTTGTTGTTGTTTTTTTTTCTTTTTTTAAGGCAGGGTTTCTCCGTGTAGTTTTGGTGCCTGCCGTGGATCTCCATCCCTATCCCAGGCTGGCAGACTCAAACCCACAGAGGTTCACTTGTCTCTTCCTCCCAAGTGCTGGGATTAAAGGCACTTGCCAACACCGTCTAGCCAGCCTTTACTTCTTTACTGGTACTGGTGACCAAACCTTGGGTCACACATGTTCTAGGCAAGCCACTAAGCTATAGTACCATTTTCCCCACCCATTCTTTCTTTCTTTTTACTTTATTTGAGACAGGATCTCACTCTGTGGCCAGGATTTCCATGAACATTTTCATGGTGGGAATCATCCTGCCTCAGCATCCTGAGTTGTAACATTATTGACATGAGCCACCATGCTGGCCTCCAACCCTCCCTTTGCTTTCTTTTCTGAGACAGGGTTTACTAAGTTGTCCAGGTTGACCCTGAGAGTCCCTGTAGCATAATTTGGCCTCAAATTTGATATTCTCTAGCATCAGGATCCTGGGTAGCTGAGATTACAGGATTGTACCACCAGGCCAGCCTCCAATATTGCAAAAAACATGGCCATGGACTCTCCAGCAGTTGTGAGGATGAGGAGGAAGGACTCTAGGCTTAACAAAAGCCTGGGATCCATAGGGAGACCTTGTCTCATAAAATTGATATCTATAGACAAAACACAGTGGTATGTCTTGATTTCAACCAGTTGCACAAAAGAGGTAGGGGAAGTATAACAATGTTGTCAGTTATCAATTGTGTGTGTAGCAGTGTATACATGTCTGTTTGTCTGTGATGTGGAGGCCAAAGGTAGGTGTTGGCTATGTGTATAGTGGTGGTGTGTCTGTTGTTGTGTGTGATGTGTGGTATGGTGGTTTGTGTGGTGAAGTGGTATGTGTGGTGTGGAAATGTGTGTGGTGTGGTGGTGGTGGTGGTGGTGGTGGTGGTGGTGTGTGTGTGTCTGTCTGTCTGTCGTTCTGTCTGTCTGTGATGCTAGAGCACAGCACTGGCTATCTTTCCCTCTGGCTATCTGTCTTATTGCTTGGAGACAAACTCTCTCACTGAACACAAGTTCAGTGTTGCAGCTAGACTGGCTGCCCAAGAGCTCCTGAGATGTTCCTGTTGCTGCCCCAGTGCTTAACTCACAGTCCCCTCCATCTTGCCAGGCTACTCCTACCTTTTACTCATGTCCTGGGAATCCAACTCAGGTCTTCGTGTTTGCAGAGCAAATGTTCTTTCTTGCTTTCTCTGCCATTTTTCCAGGTATGTGACCTTATTTTTCCTGGGAAGAGTCTCCAAATGACCCTGGAATTGCATTTTCAGTAAGACTCTGGGCAGCCAAGTCAGCAGGATCTCCCTGTCTCTGCTCCCACAGCTTGAGGTTTACAGACTTGTGCTGCAGTTCTCAGCTTTCACACAGGTCCTGGGGACCCACACTTCAGGCCTCGTACTTGAACAGCAAACATTTTTTCTGCTCAGCCTTCTCCCTGTCTCCCAACTTCGAATGTTAAAGGATTAAGATGACCTCAATATTACATAGGAACACACAGTAACAGAACATCCATTGATCATCTGTGTTGTGGGATGTCTTTCCGTATGCTGTGAATATGTGTTGTTACCATTGGTTAATAAAGAGACTGCTTTGCCCTGTGGTAAGACAGGTTATAGCCAGGCAGGAAATCCAAGCAGAGATACAGGGAGAAGAAAGTGAGGGGAGATGCTCCAAGCCGCCAAGGGAGCAAGAGGTACCAGAATGCAGTAAAGACACGAGATTCACTGCGATACATAGATGAACAGAAACAGGTTGATTTAAGATGTAATAACTAGATAGCAATAAGCCTGAGCCATAAGCCAAACAGTTCGTAATTGATGTTGAGCCTATGATGATTATTATAAAAACAGCTCCTGCATGACCAGGCAGAACTGAGAAACTTCCATCTATACATCTGAAATTCTATTAACCTTGGGGACTGTGCTTGCATTTAACAAACTTGGCATCAGTAGCACAAGGCATTTGAGGCACTCTAGGAGCACAGCAGACCTCATGAAGAAGAAGCTGGTGAGGACAGTCAAGCTCTGGCCTGTCCCTAGGGAATGGCTAGCTTTACATAGCAGAGCAAATGTCCAGAATAAGAGAGTGAACCTCCCATCATTTCATCTCCTGTGAAGGCAGGGACATTTCTCAGACCATGTAAGCAGTTCCTGTGACTACCAAGGAGCACTAGGACCACCAGAACTATGTGGAGGAGGGACCCTTCAGCCTCTATGGTGCTTTCTGAATCACAAAGTCGGAGGTACCTCTCCACCTGCCTCCCTGAGGATTGTCTAGTCCTACCCGAGCCCGCGCATTCCAGCTCTGAGTGGGCTAGCTCAGGTGAGGGTTCTAGACAAGCCACAGGAGCAGGCACAGCTGGGGAGTACTACAGGAAGCCAAGGAGGACGAACCCTACTCACCCCTTGAGGCTTCTGGCCGCTGTATAGAAGATGCAGATGGCCTTGATTTCTCCCTTCTCTTCACTCCATATATAGAAATAGCGGCCGAATTTATTTCCCTGTATATCTGGGTAAAGTGAGGCAGAAAACACTCAGGGCCACTCTCACACTCAAGCCCCTTATGCCTAGGACAGGACACAGGAGGTGAAGGCCACAAAGGAGGCTCAGGTACTCACTCTGGGCTCTGCAGGTGGCACCAGCAAGGAGAGCCAAGGTCAGCAACAGCAGCATGGCTCCTGAGGGTTTGGGGCACAAGTCTGGTGCTTAGAACCACAGGAAGATGACAAGACTTCAAAAGGGCTCTGAGGAAAAGACACCAGATTTGGGATAACAACACCCCAGATTGAGACAAGGAATCATTTGGGAACCCTCTTTTTCCACAGTCTCTGAAGGCTTCAGAAGGGCACTGGGAGGGTTTCACCCACATGCCCACACTGCAACCCCCCAAATGTCACGGTGCTTCTACTCCAACTCAGCTCTTAGCACGAGATCCCATGATGTCATATCACACTGGGCTCCCCAAAGTCTAAAGCTACTCCTGGAGAAACCCCATATTGCAAACCCCTCCATCTGTCCCTCAGGGTTCAGTCTCTATCTGGCTCAACACATCCTCTGTTTCCCCTCTGGCCTCTCCTGCTCCACCTCCTTCCTTACCTATGTTGTGTGTTCTCAGCCCCTTGGGTGGTTCCTTTATACCCTGACACCACTTAACTATAGTACCTGTGGGACCTCCACAGTCCCGCCCTTGGCAGGGTTTACTGCAAGAATATGTGTATATTTCTGGGACATCCTGGGACTCTATTTGTGTTCCTCATCTCTGCTTTTGAACAAATGAACCTCACAGTCCATGCTGTCCTCTGCAATCCTGTTAAATCCCACCTGGACACATAGGTTTCAGAACTGAAAGAGGGAGAATGTGTTCTCACTGTTGATTTCTATAAATCCAGACCAAGCAGGTTCCTAAGGCCAAGAAATATGATTGTCCCCAGTACATGAGATGTGCAGAGTCCTGAGCATGTGTGAGGGGAAATCAGATGCATCCTGCTCATGGCTTCCCATGGAAAATTGGGTCCAGTTCTGTACTGGCAGAGTGTGCCACATAGGTCCCACCTCCCTTCCTTTTATGGCTTGTTACCTGAGATCTTTTCAGAGTTTTCACTTAAAACACCTGTGCCATGCATGTCCCTTCCAGACACTGCTCATAGCAGCTCCCACCAACTGAGCAGACAGAGTTCTCAACATAGCCCTCAGTCCTCCAGGCAGCCCTGAGCCTGCCCTCACTACAATGCCCATTTTATAGCCTAAGAAAAGGAAGTACCAAGTGGTTTAGACCTGGTGTGTCAGCCTCTCCTTGGGACCCACAGATTCTTTCTGTCTCCACCCCTCTGGGACACATGCCTATCCTCTAGTTCCCAGGATGTCTGATCCAGGTGGACAGTTGTATCGAGGTGGCAAACTCTACCCTAGCACTCATCCTAGCTTGAAACTTTTGCAGGGTCTGTCCAGCTCACCGTTTCCCATCTGGAACCTCTTCCCATTTCACCCCGAGGAGGCAGCAGCCACATTGAGACCCCTCTGCTCAGGCAAATTGACCAGAGATGGACCTTGACCTCAGTGGGCGTTCTCTGTGACCAGCAAGACAGAACCTACTCTACTGCTGTTGTCCAGTGGGAGTCGGAGTTCCCTGGAGCTGTTGTACTAAGCAAAGAGGAGAAGTCCCCTCTCCACGTCTTCTAGACTATTCTTAACCCCAGGTTTGTTGTTCTTACATGCTAAGTTGCATCCCAAATCCACCAGCCTCCAAGGAAATGTAGAAAGGAATGAATACTATTTTTTTATTAAGTATTGTCATTTACCTGTTCATTTACTTGTTGGACTTTGTTTATTGAATGGGGAGTACCTTGTGCCATGGCATGCTTGCAGAGGTCAGAGAACAGTTTGTTAAGTCAGTTCTCTCTTTCCCTTGGGTAAGCTCAGGGACCAACCTCAGACTGCCAAGCCTGGCAGCAAGACCCTTACCTGCAGAGCCACTCCAGGCCATCAGCTACATATGTTGAAGTTCTGAGAGTTGAATAGAGCCTGACACATGCTATTTGTCTGTCTATCTGTCTTTTTGTCTATCTATCTATCTATCTATCTATCTATCTATCTATCTATCTATCTTACTATCTATCTGTATGTCTGTCCATCTATCTATCTATCTATCTATCTATCTATCTATCTATCTATCTATCTATCTGTCTGTCTTTTATCTATCTATCTACTATCTATCTATCTATCTATCTATCTATCTTACTATCTATCTGTATGTCTGTCTATCTATCTATCTATCTATCTATCTATCTATCAATCAACTTAACTACCTATATCTTTCTGTTTCTTTTTTAAACAGGATCTCACATATTGAGATTAAACAGATTGGCCTTGAACTTCTTCATGGTGGAAACCTTCCTGCCTCAGCCTCCTGAGGGCTGACATTATGGGCATGAGCCTCCATGCCAAGGTCAACCCACTTTTTACTTTATATTTTGAGACAAGAGTTCCACTAAGGTGTCCAAGTTGACCTTGAAGTGACTCTGTAGCCAGATTGGTCTGGATTTGTGATCCTCCTGTGCCAACCTCCTGGGATTACAGGACTGCACCACAAACCAGGCTCTGAACATTTCCTTTTTAAAGTATAACTATAGCTGAGTGTGGTGTTGCCTGCCTGTAATCTCCAGCAGTTGTGAGGCTGAGATGGAATAATCCAGGCTGTAGGCTGGCCTGGGTTACATAGTGAGACCTGTAGACATAGCACAAAATTAAAATACTGTTGTCATTACTGAAGTGTGTGTATGATTGCATGTCTTCAAGCATGTGTGGGAGTACATGCATGCTACATATGCATGTCACTATGCAGAGGTGAGAGCAGGACACAGAGTTTGTTCTTTTATCTCCTTCTACCTTAGTGCCTGGTGACATGTCTCTCACTGGCCTTCCAGTTGTTCCCCTGGGCTGGCTGGCTGGGCAAAGCGCTCTTGATATCTGTCTGTCTCTTCCTACCATGTCCCATGCTGATTGTATAGACACTCATAGCCATTCAGGAATTTTTTTTTTTTGACAGCCAAATCATCTTTATTGAGAGAATGGGTCTCTAGGGGAATGATAGGCCTGGGGCCCTCACTGCACAGCTTGTTCGTTGGCGCTGCCTCCAGAATCTGAAGGTTCTGGAGGGCTGGAGAAGGGCTCAATGTGCAGGGCTTCAAAGGCATCATCTGCACCGAAGGCCAGGCCCACTGTGGCTGGGGCATGTACCCGTGCTGTCTGGCTAGTGAAGCCACACTTGCCCAGAGTTTTTGTGTCATCAAGGAGCTGGTCATCCTTGTACAGCCGCTGCTCTTCTGGAGGCCGCTGGAGGATGCGTTGGACAACACGCTTTAGCTGGAGCACGGTACTCGTCTCCTTGGCTTCCATGAAGATGGTGGTCTTGTGGCGGCGGATCATGAGAAACACATTCTCTGAGATCCTCTTTGCAGCGCCAACTCTGATTCTCTTTCTGGCGAATTTACAGGAGCCACGGGGGAAACAGTGAGCCATCCTTTCTTCAAAGACAACTCCCAGGCCCAGTCGGGAATGCTACAGCTATTGCTCGCGATCCTGCTATACACGTCTTGTGTCGATCTTGCTGCAGGCTGTCACCTCATTCAGGAATTTATTTAACCTGAGTGCTGGGTGTCCCAACTCAGGTCCTCGAGATTGTGGAGGAAGTGCTCTTACTCGTGGGGCCTTGTCACCAGCTCCCCAACCTTGTTCTTTGAGGCAGGGTCACTGAACCTGAAGCTTTGTATTTGGGCTAGAATTATGTGGGTGATGGGAATCCAAACTAGGACCTTATACTGCTCAACAAGCATGTTTACACACTGAACTATCTCCTCAGTACCCCAATATTCAGATTTTAAAGAATAAGCATATGCTAAACACTGTACATGCCAAGATATCTTTCAAGAGTGTTCATTGTTTGTCTGCAATTTGATTAACCTGGGGGACTTTGCCTGTATTTGCCAAACTTGGCAATAGTAACTCCAAATCCCAAGATTCTTAGGGTGCTGTGGGAGAAAGACAGAGCCCTAGAGGTGGACACTGATGAGGACAGTCAAAATCTGACCTGTCCCAAGAGATTGGTTGGCCTTATGGAGCAGAGCAAAGGTCCAGAGAAGGGGTCTGCATGCCTGGGGTCTGCAAAGCTCTCAGCTCGCATGAGCAGTTTCTGTCACTACCAAGAAGCCCTAAGGCCACCAGACTTAACTGGAAGAGAGACCTCCCAGCTTCTATGATCACTTCTGATCCCGAAGTCCCTGCCCATGTGCCTAACTGATGAGGGGTTACAGCCCTTCCCAAGCCCGGGCATTCCAAACCTGGGTGGGTTAGCTCAGACCAAAGTGAAGAGCAAAGAGACATGGGTGAGGAAGATCAGTGAATCTGCTAAGTAGATAAGCCACAGGAGGTGGCTAAGGAAGACCAGGAGCCTTAACCCTCCTCACCCCTGATGATGTCCTGGATTTCCACCCTGCTCATAACATCTGATTGCCTTGTGTCTCTGAAGAAAGGGAAACAAAGGGAAAGGCATTAAGAGAGAGCTCAGAGCCAGTTTCTCACTTCCAGAGGACAAGTTGACCAGGTAGCTGTGTGAGGAGGCCTGTGGATTGTGGAGACAATGAAAAAGTTAGAACAAGAGTGGAAAGGACAGCCAATCAATGCCGGACAGTGCCTGAGTGTATTTCACAGGCAGCTGATATACAAACTTGATGGGTGGAAGTAGAACAATGCATAGCACAGGCATTCAACCATTGTCTATCCTGTCCTTGGGTCAAGGAGCAGGCCATTTCATTTTCTATCTTGATGTACCTCCCAGCTGGATGTCAGCAGCCTGAGGCCAGAAGCAGCAGCCTGTGTCTAGCGGGGCTTCCCATGGGCTAATCAGGACTTTCTCACAGCCCTGGAGCAAGCAAGCCTGAACACTATTGACTCAGAATAGACTTCAGATTCAACCTGGGAAACTGAGTCACTGTGGGATCCCACAATTCATCCTTTTTTAATATTTGAGTTGAAGAGGTAGTACTCTAGATTATATATCCTTTTTTATTGATTACATAGGCTGATTTTCCATTAGATGAGCCATTAGTAAAAATCAAAGCAGTATCTTTTAATGGAATTTTTAAAAATTTTTTATTTCATTTTATTTTATTTTACAA